TTCCCCAGTTCTGAGGAAGGGTCACCGGACCTGAAACGTTAACTCTGTTTTCTCCTTCACAGATGCTGCCAGACCTGCTGAGCTTTTCCAGCAACTTTGTTGTTGGTTCCTGATTTACGGCACCCCCAGTTCTTTTGGTTTTTATAGATTTCCTTGCAGCTGTTGTAGCGAGCTTACAATGATTTGGAAGGTGGTTAAATAGAACCTGAACTGTTCAGGAGTTAACATTACTGCAGGTTTGGGGAGCACTGTAGGTGAGATGAGCAAATGAGTAAGCATTGGTCTTCCCAACCCTTTCTGTTGATATGTTGCAGGTTTGTAAGTCTATATGCCCCAGTGAACAACAAACATTTGATTATCTGCAAATAAAGAACACTTGCCTTCTTGCTGTGCCTGTCTGATGGAAGCCAGTAGCATCGCTGTTGCTTCTGATAGAGTTAATGGGTTGGTGTTTTGGCTTCTGGTTTCTGCCAATAGACAAGAGAATGATTATATCTGTACAATGGACTGCAGGACTGAAAATAACCTAGGTCATACCAATACCAGTTTGAGAAGTATAAGGGCGCGGTTAAGATGTTAAGACATTTCTCACCGATTATGTATCCAATTCTATCTCTTACCAATATCTATTTTTTCAAAGAGGTCCCCATCGTTACCACCATCCGCAATGAACCGACGTCCCTCTGTAATGAGAATTGTGAAGGGATATTTGAAATACTATTTTCTCAAACGTGTAGAAATCTCACAATCCTGCCCGGTGCGACTTTCGCTGCTAAACCGGCAGCCTTTCATTCTGTGACTCGTGAAATGTTCTGCTAACCGTGAGTTTAGGAGCAAGTTACTGCAGATACTGGAATCTGGACTGAAAACAAAAAAAAATGCATTGTAAATCACAGCGGGTTAGGCAGCATCCGTGGAGAGGGCTCAAGCTAACGTTTCGAGTCGAGATGGCTCATTGGAAATGGGAAAATTTTAACCCCCATCATCAAACTCGGTCTCCAGCTGTATTCAGGCAAGACCAGTGCAAATGGATTTTACATGGTGCCTCTCGGCTTCCCGGACCTTCCAAACCCAGTTAACTCAGTTCTCCTCAAGCTCGGTCAGTATTTTGTAAGTTGTGGGGGCATTCCATTTGTCCTCCACATGGTATAAAACTAAACAGGCCTGAAATAGTTTATTATGAGAAGTCAGTAAGGATTTATTGCATATTAACGAATGGAAGGATAGAAGTCAACATTATCGAAAGCTTCTATCTGCATCATTTCAATCCGTCAGTTTATCGTGGGAACTGCTATTCTACTTACTTTAGATGTCATTATTGAAAAAAACCCACATGCAATAGTAATACAAAACTGATATTAGTAATTGATATGATAAATTAATAATAATCAATGAGACATAAGAACTCTGCAAACTCTGGGCAGTCATAAAAATGTTACAGTTCCAGCTCTCGTTAGCCTATCACAAACAGAAAACGGAAAGCGCTGGAGAAACTCGGCAGATCTGGCAGCCTCGGTAGGGAGAGAGGGGAAAAAAGCAGTTAACGCCTCGAATTCAGTATGGCTCTTTATCAGAGCTTTCTCATAACGAAAGAACTGCGGGTGTTGGAAATGCTGAAAAAACTCAGCAGGGCAAGCATTATCTGTGGAGTGTCACTAGCTTATTTCTGCATTCGCCTGATCTTTGTTTAGAAATGAGGTATAAGCAAAACGCAAAGGTTTAAAACGAGTTGAAACAAGTACTTGAGAAACAAATCATGGATCCGACTGGGAGCAGTATTGTAACGAGAGCAGTTCGATTCAGGGTTCACTTACGTGCTCCTTTCAAATACAGCATTGCCTGCGGTGTCCAGTTACGTCTCTGAAAGCGAACCTGCACAAACAAGAAGCATCAACTGGTCAGGGTTTGTTTTCAAAAGAGTCTGGAATACGAAGCGTGAACACGTTAAACGAGCTGAGAGGAAAGAGACGCCGTGAACAAGTTGGCGTGGTACCTGCGGAGCGCCCCTGGTCTGCACCACGAATGAAGTTAGAAGCAGCAGCAGGAGAGTGTGAGCGGTGATAGTTCCCAGACCCTGCACAAGAAAGAGAGGGAACAGCTCAGTGAATATCCGGGGCAATTTTTCACTGTGCTGCTCTGTCAAAAATTAACTTTCATAATAAACAAAAAAAGGAACATGTCTTTTGTTTTCTTTCACCGTCTGAATAAACTTCTACAGTCAAGACTGAACCCAGAGTGGCGCTTGTTTTGAACCAAGTCATTGATCTCTCCGAAGAAACAGACCCCTTCAGAACCTGCCTGCGCTGGATATTGAAAGATTCCTTCCTGTTTAAATCAGTCTGTTATCTATACAGTACGGTGAAGCAAGCAGGACCACAGCGCAAATCTCTCACCTTCATCTCCTGTTCGTCAATGTTCACTTTGCAGGGGAAGAGTGCGTGTGTGTGTGTAATGCTATTCTCTGGTCTTTGCCTCTTTAAATGCTCTCCGACAGGTCCCTCTGGCGGGACGGGTAGAACTAAAGGGGCCACATGTCAGTCTCGGTGATTGGACGAGTTGAAGGCACCGAGAGAGCCCCGCGGAGCTACCTGCGGGTTGGGGGGGGGGGGGGGGGGGGGGTCGGGGATGGACGCCAGTGACTCCCCAGGGTCAGCCCTTCACGCCCTGCAATGTCAGCACGGCAATTCTCAACTTCAAAGATATTTTCTAGTCAGTGCCAGGTATCTCCAGCAGCAGAGGCAACAAGAACAGAGAATGCAAGCCCACAGGAAAGGGAGAGAGAGAAAACAAAATTGATGATGGTGCTGAATCATAAGACTGTAAGAAATAGGAACAGGAGAAGGCTGTTTGGCCTCTCTGACCTGCTCCACCATTCAATAGGATCATTGCTGATCTGACATTCCTCAGGACCACATTCCTGCCCTTTCCCTGTAATCCTTGATTCCCAACTGATCAAGAATCAGCCTTAAATATACATCAGGACTCCCCCCCCAACAGCTCTCTGTGGCAAGGAATTCCTAGGACTCTCAACCCTCTGAGTGAAGAAATGCCTCCTCAACCCAGTCTTAAATTGATGGCCCTTGATTCCGAAACTATACCCTCTGGTCCTAGACTCCCCCATGAGGGGAAACATCCGCTCAACATTTACACTGTCAAGCCCCTTAAGAATCCTATATGTTTCAATCAGATCACTTCTCATTCTCCAGTGAGTAGAGTCCCTACCTATTTAATCTTTACTCACAAGACAATCCCGCTATACCAGGAATCAGCCTAATGAAACTTCTCTTAACTGCCTCCAATGAAATGATATCTTTCCTCAAATAAGGGGACCAAAATTGCTCACAGTGCTCCAGATGTGGCCCCACCAGCACCTTGTGCAGTTGCAGTAAGACTTCCCAACTTTCACACTCCAAACCCCTTGAAATATGGACCAACATTCCATTAGCCTTCCTGATTACCTCCTGCACCTCTGTGCTAGCTTTCTGTATTTCATGTACAAGTTTCCCCAAGTCCCATTGTGTTGCAGCTTTCTGCAGTTTTTCTCCATTTTAATCATATTCTGTTCTTTTGTTCTCCCTTCCAAAATCAACAACTTTGCATTTCCCAGCATCATTCTTCATATGCCAACATTTTTTCCCACTTACTTAACCTATCTATGTCTCTGCAAACTGTTTGCATCCCTCTGACAACCTGCCTTTCCGCCTATTTTTTTTTGCGTCTTCTACAAATTTGGCTACATTACATTCACTTCCCTTCTCCAAGTCATTAGTATATATTATAGACAGTTATGGTCCCAGAACTGAAACCTGTGGACCTCCTCTGGTCACAGGTTGCCAACCTGAAAAAGAATACCTTATCTCTACTCATTGTTTCCTGTCTGTTTGCCAATTCCCTAACCATTCCAATATGCCACCTCCAACACCATGGGCTGTTATCATATGATTTAACCTTTTGTGAGGTACCTTGTCGAATACCTTCTGGAAGTCCAAATGCAACACATCAACTTGTTCCCCTCTATCCACTTTGTTTGAGTTTTCCTTGAAAAACTCTAATAAATTTGTCAGACTCCATTTACCTTTCATGAAGCCTTGCAGACTCTGATTAGTTTTGATTTTTCAAATGTTCTGCTGTTATTTCCTTCATAATTGATCCAATACTTTCCCAACAATAGATATTAGACTAATTGGTCTATAATTACTCTCTTTTTGTCTCCCTCCCTCTTTGAATAGGTGTGTCACCTTGGCAGTTTTCCAATTCTATAGTATTTCCCCTGAATCGAATGATTTTTGGAACATGCAATCAATCCACTCTCTCTGTAGCTGGCTCTTTTAGAATCCTAGGATGCAAAACATTAGGGTCAGGGGATCTATTTGCCTTTAGGCCTATTAGTTTCTCTAATACTATTTCTTTAGTGAGGATGATACAATTTATTTCCTCCCCCATACTTTTTAGTGTTCGAAATATCTTCCAGTGTAAAGACTGATGCAACATGTCTGTTTAACTGCTCTGTCATTTCCTTATTCCCCAAAACCACCTCGACAGATTCATTTTCCAAGGGTCCAATGTTCACTTTGACCTCTCTCTTCCTTTTTATATTCTCACTAAATTATATTCACAGATAATATTCTCTGTTTTTATTATCTGTTTAGGCCTCCTTTGCTGGGTTCTGAATTTATCCCAGTCTTCAGGGCCATCACTGACTTTGGCCTCTTTATATGCTTTTTCTAAAAACTTAATACTCTCTGTAACTTCCTAGGTTATGTTGCAAAATTTGATAGAGGACTTGTGGATTGGAGGCAGGAAGTTAGAATTTGGTGTTTGTAAGATGTTAGGGGAAAGCAGTGCACAGTCCCTTTAAAAGATGATGTGCTTTTTCCATGCTAAGAGATTTTAAATGGACATCTGTGAGCAGCTTGAAAGTTTGCAAGTACACAGAGAGCACCTGAATTGAAACATTTGTATCAAAAGGCCATACAGTTAGCAGGTCAAGCATCAGTTTTGTTTTATTATCAAGACAACAAGTTTTGAATTTAGCCAATCGATTTGAACCAGGCACTTAGATACCAAAAACCAATTAAATTTAAATCTGATGGTTTTGACAACACAGGACCAATTCTATTGCAATAAATTGATATGTCATCAAGGGTATAAAAGAAGAGGGCAGTTGGACAAAGACAGGAGAATTAACTGTCATCTGCCAGAGTTAACAGCTCTGAAGAGAGAATTGCCAGCTCTCACAGTCTTCTCTAAGTTTTAGAGAAAGCACCATCTAAATCAAAGGTACCTACGGCACAACTAGTTAATTTTCCTAACAGAAGAACCAATGGAGAAAACGTTCCTGACAAAACATTTGTAGGAGGAGGCATTCCTGACAGACCATTCAATGGTGAAGGCACAGAATATTCCGGAAGACATATAACCTGACTGTAATTTCAAGATACCAAATTCTATGTTTTTTTTAATTTAAATAAGTGGGACTTTTATTTATTAGAACAGCATACCATTATAATATTGTTTTATTCAGTAATAGTTAGTAGTTAGAAGGGATTTATTCAATTTGTTATTAGTTTAGTGAATTTATTCACTGTTAGAGCTAGATAAATAAACTGTTGTTTTAAAGTGAGTGTCAGGGAATTATTTTATTCGACCACTAGAAGTTGTTGAAAGGCAGGTTACATCACTTTTCACACTCCTTTTTCTTAGAGGGGGTCAATGTCCACTTTATAACAGAAAGGGGGCTCGTGTCCAGGATTTGAATGGATTTGAACAGATCTGAATGGATTTGTACAGATCCTAATAGATTTGAACAGATTTGAACAGATTTAGGGTACGAAAGGTCCTAGCAGATTTCATCAGACTTGGTGATTAGTGTCCTAAATCTTTAAATAAAACTTGAGTGAGAAGTGGAAAATTTGATTAATTTCAGTTGCTCGCTGTTGGTTAAATCAAAAGTGGGGAAATGGCTAAAGAGGTTCTGGGGTCAAAGATGCTTCCCAAATTTGTCAAGAAAGTTTGGAAAAAGGAAAGTTTGGAAAGTCATTAAAAGGAGACACTTTTAGAATTAGCAGACAGGCAAGAATTGGATTTAACTAGGGATAAGAAGAAATCTAAAATTGTAACAGAGTTAGCTAAGCATTTAGGTATATCAGAGAACTAGTCGAGTGCACATGGGTTAGAAAAAATTAAACTGCAAATAAGACAGCTGGAGTTAGAAGAGAAAGAAAGGGAAAGAACAGCCCTAGCTGTAGGGAAAGAAAGGAAACTGAAACAGCTTGAATTACAGTTTAAAGCAGAGCAAACAGAAAAGGAAAGAATGCTTGAGTTGGAAAAGATGAAGCAGCTTGAACATAAAAAAAGAAAAAGAGAGAGTTTGAACTTCAGAAATTGACAATTAGACGGGAAAGTTAATTTAAAAGGAGATGAAGGTAGAAGGTAGGCTTAGTGAGGAGGAGAGTGATGATGAGCAAATCCACTGTAACCTAAGGCCTGGTAGGGACATATACAAATATGTCAAAACATTACCAAAATTTGATGATGAAAAAGATGGAGAAGCCTTTCTCATTTCTTTTGAGAAATTGGCTAAACAGATGAAATGGCCAGAGTCTGCGGATAATGTTAATTCAGACCCAATTAGTAGGCAGGGCTTGTGAGGTGTTTTGGCACTGTCAGAGGAGGTGTCAGGAAAATATGAAGAAGTAAAATAGGATATCCTAAGTGCCTATGAATTGGTACCAGAAGCTTTTGACAATGGTTCAGAAATATAAGAAAGGAACTAGGTCAGACCTACATTGAGTTTGATAGAATTAAACAGAGCAACTTCAATAGATGGATGAGAGCATTAAAGATTATAAAGACATATGAGGATTTTAGAGATATTATTCTGCTGGAGGAGTTTAAAGACTCACTTCCAGAAGTGATAAGAACTCATGTTGAGGAACACAAAGTTAAAACAGTGTGAAGAGCTGCAGAGATGGTGGATGAATATGCGTTAGTGCATAAATCGAAATCTAGCTTCCGACAGCAATTTCATTCCGTGTGAGAATGGAAATTGGGAAAGAGGGAGACCCTTCAATG